GGCTTTTGGGAAGGGGTTGGGGGGGGGAAGAGCACAAACCCTGTGCTGGGAAAGCCACACCGATGAGCTTGTTAACATTTGAAGAGACTGCTTGGCGTGATTCCTTACACAGATTCCTGCCAAGAATTTGCAAGAGGAAAGTATATTTAGCAATCCAAGGCATGCCAAAGCCTTGTCAAGAGAAAAAAATAAAACCACTTTGAATATGTGGAATAGCAATTAGACATTTTCTAAGCAGCCATTTTCAAAATGCATCCAGGCATCTAATAAGGGCACCTGAGGCATATCCACAACTCTGCCATGCTCCATGCCTCCAAAGACATCTGCTAAGGATGGAGTACTGAGAGGAAGGATACGTTACAGATGGCAACTGCCCACTTCCAGAGCACTGGGCCAGTTTCATGCATGCGATTCTCTGTCAGCCTGAGCCACTGGAAATATACAGTTTCATGCCACTGCTTATCACTTTGTAGCATCCTTCGAGGAATCATTTCTCCAAGAAAAATTGAGAGCCATGTTGCATTGCCAGGAAGCAGAGAGGTGTTGCCTGCCCACTTCTTTCATGGGAGCTGGACCATCAGCTCTGTGATGCTCTGTTTCCCCAAAGGGAGCTGCTAAACATTCAGGTGAGATGAGCAGCAGGTGGAAGCTAGGACAATATGCAAAATCAGATGGTGACTTGCACCCTGTTAAATTGCTGAAAGTCACAGCATAACCCATCCCTGTCTGATTCTCATTGTCCAACACTCTAAGCTGCAAAGGCAGCAATGAACTTCATCACTAAATCTCTTTTCTTTCTAGAGAGAGACCTAGAAAATTTTCCCAGGAAGGTAACCCACCTGCATCAGTCACTCTCGTTTCTGGAGTGCCGTTGGGAAACACTCTGGGATGCAGCATGGAGGTAGAGGCATGAAGGAGCTCAGGAAGGCGATGGGCAGCGCTTGATTGTGCACAAGGATGAAGGCAGCCAACCATACAGTAAGGCCAGACATTTGCTGTTCATGGAAGTTAGAAATCTCACTGGGATACGCTCCTTAAAATATAGTGCCCATCGTTTAGGGTCTGTCAGGGTCTAATACAGTCAAATCCCTAAGAAGCAAAGGCAAAAGGGAGTACATGCACATGGGCTGAGCTCACAACACCTTTGAGTCAGGATGCGCAGAAGGGACAATCAATGCCTGTGGCTGAGGTTTCTCATCCCCACAAGCCCTAAGCCCCAACAGTCTTTAATGTGTTGCATAACACAAATGGTGCCCCCAAGGCTTGGTATCATGATCCCTAAAGACCAAACAGGCTGTCAGCGAGCAGGAGGGAGCAGGAAGCACAAATGGGATAAAGCCAAAGCAATTTTTTGATTTTGGAAACAGGTAAATATTTAACAGATAAATCGGAATGAGGATAGTTGACCTAAGCTCCTTCAATCTTTGATTCCCAAGTTCTTTTGGGCACCTTAAACATCACTTTGATTACAGCCACCATCCCCTTGGGTCATATCCTCAATCCTGAAAAAAAAAAAATCCCATGGGACTAACAGATTGCTCTGAGAAAGAGGTCCCTTTCCCACCTGCTTTTCAAAAGCAACCAAGATCAACCAACCTGCTCAGCCACATCTACAGCACAGTCAAAACTCTTAGTTTCCATCAAACCCTCCACCAATGCTCGTACCTGTAGCAATCCAGATAGGTCAGACACTGCTGTAAACTCACACCCTCTAAGACAGGTGCCAGCACTTTGCTCGCTGCTTCTACAGCACTTAAGACAACTCCATCCAAGTTCATGACTCAAACTCATCAGCAAGTATACTCAAAGCAGCAAGTAAAATTGTTAAGAATTCATATTTTTAGCTTAGATTCCCAGAAGAAACAAGTTTTGAGGGTCACCTGGCCAAATCACAGCTGTTGATGCAACAAATTTTCCTAGGATATATACAGGGTTTGGACAGACCAACGACACAAATTCAGCTGTTAGAGGTGACAAGTGACTACAAAACTCCCATCTACAACCTCCCCATTCCTATTTCTACCTCCTGATATCTCTTGAAACAGACACGTTTCACTCTAAACTCACTGTCACGGTCTATTTTAGGGGGAAAGCAGGAAACACTGAGCTAAGAAGCTGCAGTAGGTGTACAGGTGAGCAGAGCCTCACTCCTGGATGGGAAGGGAAGCTGAGAAGATGCAGCCAAGCAGCAGCCTTGCATCACTGAGCAGCAGAGCAGCAGTGTCGCCCGCTGGCCGCTCGCAGCATTGCCAGCTGACAGTGCTCTGACCACAGCGTCCTGCATCTTCCCTGCTCTCTGCACCTTCCTCCCTGCTCTCACTTCGAGGAAACGTGCCGAATTGGCAGCCCTGAAGGTTCACCACCACAAAACATCCCTGCTCAGGAGCAGACCAGGGTACTACGGCGCTCTCAGAAGAGAACAAGCCCAAGAGCTCTGCAGGTGTAGCCCAAGCAGGGATGCAGGTAGGACCACACAGTCCAGATTTTAAAAATAAATAAATAAAAATCCCACATCCTTATCTTCCCTTCCTATTTCCACTCTGCCCGGCTTCTCCCCTCTGCAAATATTAATCCCAAAGGGAATGAATAACTTCCTTAGCAAGAATAGAAGTCACCTTAGATAAGATACCTGTGCAAGCACCCTGGGATATCAACATAGTGAAGACATAGCCTCTGCACCTGTTAGCGACTGGGTACTTCATAGCAGCTGAGTGGGCTTTCATCAGAAACCTGTACTTCAATTACAACCTCTACATTAATGAAGAAAGCCCGAGGTGTGCAGAGTTATATCTCAGCACCAGAACTGTCAGGGGAAAGGGACATGGAAATGTGACCCAAGCACACTCAGTGTGTGACCAGTATCACCTGAACTCGCTCATCTCCGTGTGAGCTGGTAACTGGAGCAGCTTCCCTCATCCCCCCCCTCTCCTTTTCCTGGAGGTCCAAGCAGGACACAGAGCTGTTTCTGGACATCCAGTCTGTACAAACTCCCCAACCCTTCCCTCTTGGCTGAGGGTTTCCCTAAAGGATGGAGGAGTTACTTGCAAAGCAGCGCCTGGACCACAGCACTTCATAAACCTGTGCAGGAAGGTAACCCAAAGTTAGCGGCAGCACCCCTTTATCAACTCACTGAGGGAGGTCCAGACAGCAGCGATATCCTCGCAGCAGCACAAGCTGTCCCCACATGCCATTCACCCTGTCTTCAGTGGGAGCAGCAGCCAACAGGAGAAAAGCTGGCTCCTTGAGCTGTTCCAGCTATCCACGCAGGAGTGGACAGCCACCCACAAGGGAGCGGAAACACCTTAACTGAAAAAAAAAGTTCAGGGCAGCTTGGAGATGGCACCCCAAGGAAGCTGGTTAGCATCAACCCGGACCAGCAACAGCAGTGCCCAGGGCAGCCACTCCAACCAAGCTGGGAGGGCTGACAAGGACCTAGAGAAGGCTGCTGTGGGCATGTCATGTAAGAAAAGCAGCAGCAAAAATGAGAGTTCAGCAACATGTTTCTTGAACCCACAGGTTTCCTCATAACCCTGCTAACAGAAAACACACGCAGAAGGCCACAATGGTGTTCATCTACATATACAAAAATGAGACATTGCTTCTAAGAGCCACCCATTGCCACCTCCACTTCAAGCCTGTCACACAACTACCTCACCCAGCACTACAGGAGGACAAGGTGTGTCATTTGAGAAGTGTGCAGAGGGATCTCTCTCCTAGAAAGCAGATTGTGCCAGTTGCAAGGAGTGACCCTCATCACTGTTGGGAGGTCACGTGAAGGATATGCAGGTTGGTACAAATGACACTGGACACTTGAATACATGGATTTACATTCGTAAGGGAAGTTGACTGCACATAAATAAATAAATAAATAAATAAAGGAGTAAGTTCACGGACACTGCAGCCAGAATTCCGAGCCACAGACTTTTTGCAGCTGGGAAAAGATTCCTGCTTAGGTCCAGTTCTGAATTTATCTTTCAAAAGCTCATTAATGACATTATTGCCATAGCTCATCACCACACAAACCCACTTAAAGCTTAAGCTGGAGCAAAAGCAACCACTATGCTACTGGCTTACTATTTTTTCTCCAGCAGCTACCAAGGTTATTATCAAGACTCATGTTTTGTGACCTGTGTTGTGAGGACGAGAAAGGTGCTGCAGTCACCAAAAAACCCAGACAAAAGCAAACCTCAAACCAAACCAAAACTCACCTGACTAACAGACCATAAAAACGTTACAGCATCTTAAGCCTGACAGCACAAAGGGATGATCTGGAGGCAATTATTAACTCAAACAGCAGCTTTTCCTCCAAGACTGAATGTCCCAGGAGTTGGCTCAACATGAAAATTTGTTGGTGTAACTCAGCATGGACTAGGGAACTTGAACACACAGACCAGGGAGCCTGCTCTCAGATCCTGGGAAGAGCCAGCCATAGTGCGCATTCGGGTGCACTGACCTGGCGATCTGCACACAACTGAACATGCTATGGGCTGCAGTGAGCACTCACCTGTGCCTGGCACTGGAAAATCAGTAGCACCAGCCAGCAACAGCGGATGAAGCTGCTCTTTTCCCATTCCAACCTCTGCCCCCAAGCCCGTCACGATGCTCTTTTGTTTTCTCCATCTTCAGCACACACCCCATTCCCTGAGCTGTGCTCAAAGGCAGACAGGAAGAGGCAGAGTAATGTTTTCCATGTTCTCTCCTCCCGCCTTACATCTGTCCACTGCTCCATTCATGGAGCTCTACGCTATTCCGTAAGGCAAAGACATGAAGGACATCTCTGGATGTGCCAGGCTTCTTCAAGCTATTTAAGCTTCCCTCAGATTCACCTCAGCGCATGCAAGAAACTCAGTATGCAATTAACTGGAAATGAAAAGTGCTTTTTTAATGGCTTCACTAGCAACAAGACCTACTCAGCTACTGGACAGCCCTACTGATGTCTCCATAGTTATACATACAGCACAGCAAAACAGGCAGGACTTTTTGCAGAGACACAAACACGATTCCACTCCGTTATCACCTTTTTATTGTTAAAAGGACAGATCTCGACAGTGGAAAAAAAGGATGTTGCACAAGGAGAACAGGATGTAGCTTCTACTGGTCCTTCAATTCCTTCAGTCTTCTGATCGCAGATTTGACTGTCACTGCAGAGGTGGTACTGAAAGAAGAAGCAGAGTCATACACACATGGCAACACAAGAACAACCCGTGGCAGTCTTACTTTTTGGCAAAAGCACTAAATTCAAATAGTTATCAGCTGACTGCACTGTCAACAGGGGGCTAACTCCACTTTGATTTTCATGACAGCGAAGCTCAGGCCTTTGTCTAAAATAAAAACAAAACATGGAAGTCATTTGCTTGGAGTAAACCTGGTTTTACCTATTTTATCTGTGTTTCTGAACTGAAAAGGCTGGTGTAGTAACTACAAAAAAAAAATGCTGCCTAGGCACTGGCAGAAGAGGGAATTGTTCCCTTACACTAGTAAGATTTTTATACAGTCATGAGAATCAAGGAAGGAAAAATAATCCCCAGGTCACAGGGATTATTAGAAGCTGTTGAAGCTCTTTTTAGAATAGGTCAGAAGAACATCTGCCAGATGTCATCCACACAGTTAATTCCACTCTGAGACAGCTAGATGAACCAGCCACCTTCTCTGCTCCTTTTCTTCCAACATCACCAAATAAACCGGCCCAAGGGCAATACCTTGTACAAGCAACAACTGCGGTTTGCACCTCCAGTCAGAAATGCTACTGCAGCCAAGGCAGAAACTACTTATATAAACCCACGTTGCAGCATTTGCAGATGTTTCAATTTCTTTATTTGAAATTTGGGGAAAGGTGTGGAGCTTGCATTTTTGAAGAACAAAACAACTGCTTTGAAAAAGCCCAGAGAAAGACATTTTGGAGGGACCCACCAAAACCAGCACCAGTAATATGATGGATAAAATGCAGTATTCTCAGAGGCTGCACAACAGATACTGGAAGGAATAACTATCAAATCCAATTTGATCCATTCCAATAACTTTTTAACAATGCAGGCAAAAAACTCCTACATATCACTAACTCAAGACAGATCTACTTAATTGTTAGTAAATTAAAATTAAAAACGTAAATAAAAATCTGTATTCTGCCTGAGCTATATGAGAATAAATGCTGACAGGAGCTTCTCTATTTCCTTACTTGTACGTCCAGGCACCACCAGCAACTGTCTTCATGCAGGATCCGCAGTGCCAGATACCCACAGCCTTCCTCTTCATTTTGGTCTGCAATAAAGGTTAAAAAAAATATATATAAATAAACAAAATTAAAATTTGACACTCTCCATCAAATGGAAAAAAAGAGAATTTGTACCATCATCCAAACAACAAACTTCAGTTGAGGACACCAACATCACTCCGCAGCATTACCTGTAAGCCTCATTAAGACAGGCAAGGATGAGGGAATGTTTTTATTCAGATTCTTCAGAACAGGGGAAGCCGCCACTCTTGTATTCAGATATAAACTGAGTCATTTCTAAACACATCATCAAAAATTCAAGTCTTTTTGAAGGAGAAAAACAGTAAGGAGTTATGTTAGTCATAAGAACTGATATTCTCATGGGTATCCCCAGATTGCTCTAAACCAGTCCCCCTTTGAAGAGCACCTAAAGAGTGGTGGGTACTGAACTGCTCTCACCTGGGCAGGTGACCTACAGACCTATACTGCATTTAGGCAGCTCTGCAAACAGGGCTTATCAACATTCTCACTTCACACGGGAAAGACACAAAGTATAAAAAACCCAGATGGAAGTATTCTTAAATTTTCAACCACTTAAAGACACACACTTTACAGCTATCAATAAAATTATCTGGGCAAAGGACAAGCTGGTGGGCTTCTCAAACACCAGATTTAAGACTGAATTTTTATTATGTACATGAGCAGATAAAACTCCTTTTTACCAGTAACTGTGCCCCATCCAGAGTTACACGAGACACAAATGTAAGCAGGCAATTGCAATCAAAAGCTGTAAGTGGGAAAAGCAAGCTCTTCCTCTCCCAGGAAGCAATACAGTTACTGAAGGAAAACCAAAACAAAACAAAAGAAAAACAAAACACAAAAGCCTAAGTCATGCCTTAATTATCAGGATAACACGTGTGTTGTTTTAATTCTGTCAGGTCTTTTTATCAGATACCTAAAACACATAGTACACTAACATTTATCACTATTTTGTGTCATGAACAACTGACAGGACAAGAGAAAACGGCCTCAAGTTGTGCCAAGGGAGGTTTAGATTGGACACTGGGAAGAATTTCTTTGCTGAAAGGGTTCTCAGGCACTGGAAGGGGTTGTCCCAGGGCAGCGGTGGTATCCCCATCCCTGGAGGGATTTAAGAGTCCAGTGTAGACATAGTGCTGAGGGACATGGGTTAAGTTGAGGACTCCAGTGTGAGGTTAATGACTGGACGATCTTAAAGCTCTTTCCCAATCGAGGCAAATCTGTGTTTCTGTGAAATATAATTCATGATTGTTTCCACTTAACTACCACTTTACATGTGAAATGTCTACCAAGTCTTTTTATTTTATAAGGGATTCTCACAGTAGCCCAAAGCTCACAATAAACTAATCACTGCCTCAAAACTAGTACAGTTATCTCTTTAGTGGAAAAATTACCAAATCATCAAATTGCATTTTTAGCATCAACAACAAAGTTACTTTTAAGAGTGTTTTATGGAAGGAGGTCTCTCACCTTGCCACAAAAGGAGCAGGTATACTTAGCGTGCTGGCTAATTTCAATCTTCTTCACCATTTTCCTTAGGGACGCACCGTAACGGGTCCCGTATTTCCCCACAATGCCAACCTTCTTGGTGCGCTTAGCCTGTTGGGAGGCAAACCAGAACGAGCTGCAGCTTTACCGAGATCGCCCCTTCGTCGGCTGCTCTCTCTCCTGACACCACAGCAGAGCGCTCAGCCCA